GCAGTAACTTTTTGGCCCTGTTGCCAATAAGTCTTTCTTTCACTAGGTCTCTTGCCAAGATAATTCTGGTGTAAATCTTATTGACAAAGCCACATCAGTGTATTTAAGTATTTAGCTAGGACATAGTAGCTGTTTGTTACAGCCAAGAATGATACTATTTTAAGAAATTTTCATGTCTTCATCAGAGGCCTAAAACCTGTGTCTAACAAAGATAACAACATTAGCCAAACATAGATGTCACATTTTAATTTTCTAGATTCAAAACACAGGAAATCAGGAATAGGTTTGGGTTGGCGGTTATAAAATTCAAACGTCTCCATTAAGGTAAGTAAAATAAATTTTACTAGGAAATTTTCTAAATTTCTAAAATTTAATTAATGAACTCAAGACACTTAATTCTTTTCACATTCCTTGTATGTTTTCTGCATTTACTGACCTCAGTGATCTTCCACTAGCTGCAGTACCAAAAACTCGACTTGGGCAGTTGGGACATGGCCTCATGGAATTCTAAGGTGCTCTACAGGCAATTGAGTCTTCCCATTGTCTAAAGTAGATTATGAAATCAGTTTTCAGATACCGATCTTGCTCCAGTGATATCTACACGGTCTTTCTTAAGTATAAAAGGATATGCTCTTTTGTAACACTCAAGAATGGCATATTAGAGTATATATGTGCGTTGTTCATAATGATATTGTTTTCTCAAACATGTTTTATTTGGAATATACCATGTGGGAAGAGAGAAGCCAAAATGATACAGAAATGCAGTGATGGTCTTTGTTTATTGTTCCCATTCACTGTATGCAGTAGAGTTCGTGGTTTGCTGTTAATATAGAGCTCTGTGATAAGCTAAAACCCACTGATGACCAGTCAGTGTGCTGACCATTTAAACAAAATAGAATTAGAACTTACAAAATAGAATCATGATTCAAAAAATTTAATGACAGGATTCACAAAGGGCAAAGAAAGTCACATTAAAAAGAATGCAATCTCTGGAGGGTCTTTTAAATTTCATCTACAGAATAATTTCCATACTATTTAGCTGCCTTCTCAGCAGGATTAAAGAGATCGAAACAGGTTAGTTAGAATAGCAAATCTACAGTGGTTTGATAAGAAACAAAGTACAGAGGGATAAAAAAGAGGGGTTGAGACTATAGGTGGCCTCTTTGTGGGATATTCTTTGTAAATAGCAGATTACTTTGTGACAGATCATGAAACTTAGTGCATGTAAATATATCTGTGAAATTGGGATAAAAAGAGCACATGTGCTTGGCATATAGAGTGGTCCCTGGGTTTTCGAATGTAATCTGTTCTGGAAGACCATTTTTGAGTTCTGAAATGTTTGAAAACCGAGGGATCCACAGCCGACAGCTGGGCCTCAGGGCCTTGCCCTCAGGGGAAGCTGTGGGGCATGTACGACTTCCGAGGTGAGTTCGAAAACTGAAGCATTTCCTTCTGGGTTTACGAGGTTCCTAACCCGAAATGTTCGTCAGCGGAGACATTCGAAAATTGAGGTACCACTGTATTTGGTATATAAGTAGTAACTGTCTTTGTTAAAGTTTAATATTCTTCTTATATATTATATTATCCATCTTACTACATCAAATCATCTTTGAAAATGGCTAGCTAGTACAAATAAACAATGGGGGGGAGGGGACATCTGTAATACTTTCAACAATAAAGATACATTTAAAAAAAAGATTTTTTCCTACCTTTTCTGGCAAATTGCTGTCATTCCTAATTCACAAATTTCATAGAAATGAAGAAATAGACATGTTGTCCTCTTTATACATATCCTGCACAATTAATGTTTTGGTGGTGATGACAGTGACAGCAAGGTAAATGAGGGGAAGTAAACGACAAAAACATTTGGAAACTACCTGTAATCATCTGTATTCTGGGGAGTCAATTTCTTCTTAGTTGCTAAAGTAAGCAAAGTAGAGTAGTATTTATGAGAACATGCACTCCTCGGTTGTGTCATATAGTACTTCCAATCTTGAGTAGACTTAGTACAAATTTATTTGAATTAAAAAAAAAAGAAAATTCAAATAAGTGTTTGAATCCAAATTTTTGGATTTAGATTCAAATACACTGAAAAAGAAAAATGAAAACAAAACCACTGACTTCTAGGTTTTGTCATGAAGCATTTTTACTATAATCTTCAGTGGGGTTGATGTAAGCAGCTATTTGAATCTAATTACTAATAAGAAATCACATTACAACTGAGATCTGCTCTAAACTGATATTTTTACAACAATGGAAATAACATTTAAAAATATTCTAAATATTACTACGTTCAACACTTGCTATGTTTGACTAAAGCCTGGGAGTTGATAATTTATGAAGCAATCTGTGAATAAATGTAATAAAAACTCCAAAGTCTGGACTTTTTCCAGAGTTTGAGATTGTTTAATTAGGATGTCATTGCAGAGAAATGAACACGACTTTGAGATTGTCTTCTCTAGACACAAACACTATAGCTCATTGAAGATTCTCACTGAGCTGTGGTAAAAGCTCTCAGGGGAAGGTGCTTTATAACACTCTTCAACTCACTGATGAAACCCTGGGTTCGAAATCACTGGGGCAGCACACATCTCTACCTTAACAGGGGAAATCAACCCAACTAAATGCACATCCTGAGAGCAGGCCTATCATTTCTGCTTTAATGTGTCCCGCAGGTACCTGGCAAGAATAGAGGATATGCAAACAGCTTTGACTAATCAGATAAATTGTTACTCTCAAAATTGCCTTTGATAAAGACAAAGAGTATTACTCAACCAGTTTCTAATGGGAAAAAGTTGACAAAAATAAACCATAACATTTTTTTAAAAAGGTACAAATTGTCAACCCATTTTCTTCATACTTGAATTAAAAGTGAATAAAAACCCTTAAGTTTTTTATATCATATAATGTATATAATTTATATATAGAATATGTAAAGTTTTAATATCATATAATATATAATTTATATATATGGATAAAGATATATATTTATATATGTTAGATAAGTAAAACCTTAAGTTATACATATATAACTAACGGAATGTATAGATAATATAAAAGATATAATATATAAATAATATATTTGTATGATATATAATGTATATGATATATTTAATGGAACTTCTATAAATTAGAAATTCATTTGATTCAGTAAATTTATACTGTGAAACAGATGAACAACAACAATTTTTCTCTGAGGATTAAATAGTCTAATCAACCAAAGAGCAATGTGGTTTATTTTAATAATTTCATAGTCCCCAAATGGTATCAGCCCATTTTTCCAAAATGAGAGTTTTGGTTGGTAAGAATGAGTATGGAAGAGCAATATAGGAATACTTCACTCTGAAAATGAACCTCCTCAGTTCCTGAGTGATCCAAAAGGAGGAAATGGAAGGTTGGTCAGAGGTGCAGAAAAAAGAGGGACTGGTTATTAGAGATCCATTCCCACTCTTACTGAGCGTCTCATGATTTTAATGGTAGTAAATACCTCATGTCTCTGGATAATGTATTTCAAATGCAGCATCTGCCTGTACTGATTTACTTGATTTTTTAAAATATACATATGATTTGCCCTGCCTGTCACAAAGTATATATTTATTAAATAACTGATGAATGGATATGAGATTGATCTCTCTCTCCCCTCTTCCCCCATTGCTCCTTCTCTAGAATAAAAAAAAAATTATAAAAAACAATAACAAAAATGAAAAGAAAATCATTGCTTTACTCTATGTATAAACCTGAGTTTGCTTAACCATTTGTTGCTAGATATGTGAGTGGCACCTAATTTTTGGCTATTACAAATAAAGCTTCTACGAACATTTGTGTACAAGTCTTTGGACATATGCTTTCAAGTTACAGCAAATTTGAAAAATTCTCAAGCTTCTGCTTATAAGGAAATACTATTTTCACCTTCAAGGTTGGCAGCATTTAAAAATTGTGAGTTTTGATGAGGATGTGTGAGGGATAAAAAGTACAATTTTACATGAACAAAATGGAACTATGGATTGGTAGAAATCTTTTCAAGAGCAATTTGGTAGCAGCTATGAAAATTTTAAAAATATGCTTATCCTCTGTTCAAGAAAATCTCCATAATTTTCTGTAATATTGGAAAAATTACTTACTTTGTATATGCCTATTTCTCGCCTGTAGATGATAAAATGTAGTATGTATCTCATAGGTTTAATATGTAATTCATAGGGTTACAGTGAGCATTAAGCAAGTTAATTCATGAGAAATGCTTGCACAGCAAACATTTTTCATTATTATTTTTACTATTACCTATAGGAATCAATTCTTCAGAAATGCTTTGTCAAATATGTAGGAAGTTATTTTAAGGGTGTTCACAACAACAAAAAACATTGGAGACAATCTCAATGACTTTTGATAAGGGATTAGGAAATAAATTGTAATATATCCGTAGGAGGCAATTATAAGTAAAGGATGGATGTGTGTGCTGGAGAAGATAGGGCCTCATTCTAAATTCTGCCCCGGTCCTTAGTAGTTGTGGAAATTGGTCCATTTACTAATCTTTCTTTCTCAGTTTCTTCAAATATAAAAGTAATGACAGTAATACCCATCTTATAAGAGTCTTTGTTAGGGATCAATGAGATATCACATGTAAATTTCTTAGAAGAGAATCTGAGCATAGTGAACATCCCATAAATTATAGCATTACTTCAGAATATTCTGTGCCCTGCATAAAAACCCAGGCAGGTGTGAATGGCCTGTTGCAGAAAGACACTCTATGAGAAAGGTTTTATTTTTCCCCTACAGATATTATGTGATGGAAACAAGTAACAGATCCACTTATATATCCTTAGACTTGGGTGTAAATGTTCAAATATTTGTCCTCAAATTACTTTATCCTCAAATTACAGAAATAGTTAAGCACATTTCAAGTGTCAAACTCAACTTTCTTAATTTTTATTATATATGAAAATTTTAATATATAAAATTGATCAACAGTAAATAGTAAATATCAAAATTAAAAAAAACACTTCTTGATCTTAGAGTAATTTATTTGAATTTGTGAATTCAAGAAATATGTTAATATTTATGTATGCAGAGTATAACACAAGTTAATGTTTTATTGGAAAGACTGCTGTGACTGACAATATTGAGTCATTACCAATTTATATTACCTTAGATTGAAATGACTTAACATGAGAAAAAAATAGTTATGTTAGCACATGCGCTTTTTCTTCTGTGCCACTGAATCTTTTTAGGAGCAAGAATACCCTCATATTCAGGTTATCTAAAAGATATTCCAATAATTTTATGAAATAAATTTTCAGCCTTACTCAGATTAAAAAAGAAGTTGATTTTCATGTTGTGTAGAAAAACTAAAAACAGAGCAGATGTGCATGCAAAGGTAAGTAAAAACACTGGCAGCTTCTCAGCAGGGGTGCGAGTCTGCCTTTCATGCTAATTTATGTTCGGTATAACAAGTAGCCGCTAAATGTAGTGGCTGGGGGAAATTTGGCTGGAATTGTGCCTTTGACAAGTCGTAGCCACACTTCCTGCCCATAATTTAATTCCAATAAGGCATCCCCAGTCAACACCCTATCGCAATGTGCTTCACTGTTAATATTTTCAGACTCAAATGTGAGCTTGTCTCTTCCATCAACCACTAAAAACCCAGAGATATGAGGACTTAGTGACTCAATGGTGTACTTAAAAACATACACCCCAAGATACGGAATTCTGAATTTTCCAGTTCTTGGAGTATATGAAGATCCATAATTGACATCCAAGTTATTAAATAGAATAGGACCAGGGGCAGTCATTCCGTATGTGTGAGAGGCAAAAAATGCCACCATAGGTGCGTATCTGTAAGATCCTTTGGAAAAATCTGTTAAAGGAAAAAATGAAGAGAGTTAATTTTTATGTTTTTCTCTTGTTTTGCCTTTCCTCATATCTTTATCATTTCGTCTCAGTTACAAAGAGGATTAGCAGAAGGCAAAGGTCATTCATCTTATTTAACAAGGGCAGGTGTGCCTGGAGGCCTGCCTCGTCTCTTGGCTGAGTTACCCGAAATCACAGCATCTCTGAGCCTCAGTTTCTCCATTGAAATCAGGACACAATGATAATAACATTTTAACTCTCTCACAAAAATGCCTCAAAGATTAATTTGCATATTGCTTTGATCTCTCCAGAGACAAAGGAATTCAAAGCGCTTGGTGATTATTATGGTTTGCCAGAATGCTTTAAAGCCCCTTGAAGGAATTGAAGCTGACATGATGTGGAAACAATTTCCCCAACACCTTGTCAAACAGTTTCTAGAGGCTAAATGGAAACCAAGTGAAGTCATATGCACTACAGAGAAGTAGACAAAAGGAATTTTCTATGTAATTAATGCCAAACGCACTAACAAAGGCTGAGATTCAAAAATAGACTAAAAAATGTCCTTTTCACTGTGCAGCATATTAAAAACCTGATTTGAAGTAGGTTTTTTTGCTCTCATTAAAGAGAATACATTTTAAGTGTTGCATATATTTTCTTGTACAAAAAAATCAGAAATGGCACACTCAAAGTAAATTTATAGCAACCAATCATTACAAAGGTAAATGGACACAAAAAAAGACATCTTCGACCAGTCCTTACCCAGTCAAATGGCACTATTATTAGCTCGACCTTCATGGAAAGTAAGCTTTGCTGGTAAGCACTTAGGAAAGCTTCATCTAAATGACCATATCTGAGACGAATCAAAGTTGTACTGTTTAACAACTTTATGGAGATAAGAGTTTAAGGAGATAGAGTTTTCCTTTTAGGATGCACAGGGGAAAAAAGCCTGCCTCTCTTATACCAATATTAAAAATTTCAACAAGTGAACATCAATATGAATGTACCTGACAAAAAGACATTTTCACTTGTAAATCACATGCATTATTCAATAAGTTTCAGAAGTAGAAGGAATTAATCCTCCAGTGAGCCCCGATGAAGCAGGCTTAAATATTCACTCGTAAATATTTTCAAAATGTTTTCTGCATACGACCTTGAACAAGCCCAAGGATGCGTGCATTTTCGTACCTGGAGCTAAGGCATTTTCTTCCACCAGCTTGACAGTGCAGTTGTGGCCAGTGAAGGGGTGTCGGCAAGCACAGATAAAGCTGGTTCTCCCACTTATACATGTGCCCCCGTTCTCGCAGGGGGACCTGCTACACACTTCCTCTGTTACTGAAAAAGAATCAGGAAAACATGATAAAAGTGACCTGTTTTCTGATGGCTTCAATCATACTTTGCAGCAGAGTGAGAAAAAAATACTAAGAAATAAAAAAAATGGGTTCCCAGGTCCAGGTGGGTCACCAGTGTAGTCACAGGACTTCATGCAAGTCCCTTAACTCTCAGAGCTCTCTTTCTTGATTCTTGGAAGTGGGAATAATTCTGTGATCTATTGCATTTATTTGTGCGGAAATATAAATATTTTGGTCAGCTGTAGAACAGTGCAGGATATCTGATCACAGAATCATGTATGTTTGGAACTGGTACATGATAAAGGTAATATTTCAAATAATTGGAAAAGCAAAATATCTATTCAATACATTGTGCTCAGGTAATTGGATATCCATAAAAACATAAATTCCACATGTACAAAAGTACTAAATATTTAAAAAAAAACTCATATAATTGCACTACAGTCAAATAAAAAATATATCTATGTAGAGATTTAAAATTTTGGAAAACTCTTTCAAAGCAAAGCAAAACAAAACAGAAACCAGAAGCTATAATAGAAAAATCCTTGTTTGACTACCAAAAAAATTAAAACTCATTTGCAATAAAAGCCACCATTATCAAAGTTCGAAGATAAGTGACAAATTAAGAGAAAACAAAACAATAGACACAACAATCTAATGACTAATATCCATAATATGTGAAAAGTTCTGACGAATCCAAAACAACAACAGAAAATGTAACCCCTCAAAAAAAGTAAAAAAATAAGCAAATGATATCCGCTGGCAAATCACTGAACAAAAACATGAACGCTCATGAAAAATTTTAAACATTAGTCAACCTCACTACTAATGAAGGAATGATAAATTACCTCCACCAACGTTTTTATATGAGGTGTCAACATTTAAAAGATAGAAAACATGAAATGTTAAAGGGTCTTCTTTAAGAGGAAGAAGATAAAAAATATGAACAATAAAACGGCAATAAATACATATCTATCAACAACTGAATCTAAAAGTAAAAATAAATGAACAAACAGAACAGAAACAGACTCACAGACACAGAATATTTTGACAGTTGCCAGATGGCAGGGGGTTTGGAGGGATGGGTGAGAAAGTGATGGGATTTAGAAGTACAAATTAGTAGTTACAGTGTAGTCACGGGGGTGTAAAGTACAGTATAGGGAATATAGTCAATAATATTCTAATAACTGTATGGTGTCAGATGGATATGAGATTTCTCGGGATGATCACTTAATAAGTTTCATAATGTCTAATCATGGGGGTGTACACCTGGGACTAATATAATATTGTATGTCAACTGTAATTGAAAAAATTAAAAATGATTTAAAAAAAGATACAAAACATTCCATCATGGCAATACGAGAGAAAACGAGCATTCTCATACAATGTTGGTTAGAGTTTAAATTGTTAGAACCTTTAAATAGGACAATTGCACCATATTTATTAGAATATAAAAGGTTCATTTGCTTTGAACCAGAAATTTTACCTGGTAAAATATATATTCCAGACACATTTCTTATGTATACAAAGATAATTGTCCAAGAATATTCTTTATGACATCATTTGCCTTAGTGGACAATTGTTAAGGCACCTAATGACCATTGATGTGGGACTTGTTAAATGAATTCCAGTATCTTTTCACTAAATAATATTAGGCAGCTGTTAAAGGATGAGGTAGATACCCGGCACATTTGATTGACTGAAAACAGTAAGTTCCAGTTCACACATTAGATATAGAATAGTTTCACTTATTTAGAAAGCCTCAAATTATGAATATGGTTATAAATGTAAAACATAATCATGTAAATACAGAGAAGAGGTTGGAAGAATACTTACATTACTGGCCACAGTTATCACTTTGGCACCACTCTGTGGTAACAGTGTACACACTTTACAATCCACTCATTTCAATGATTTTTAAATTTAGGATTATTTGCATTGTTTAACATTTTTCTCAGAAAGTGCAACCTATAAATACTTTATATACATTCTACTTCATATTTAAATAATTCAATTTCACATAAAATGTGACCAAATTGCATGCCTGTATTATTCAAATTTTTGGCAAGGAAAATATATATTATTTATGCAGGTAGAAACTAATTTAAATTTTCTGCAATGCCCCATAAAGTATTTTCCCAACTAAGGTACATATAAAAATGTTACACATGTAATATCTTTTAACAAATGTTTTAAATCAGCCTACATTTTGTAAACATTGTTTCTCAGCCACGTGAATAGGTTACTAAACCCGTTTGCTGTTTGTTATCATTCTAAAACCAAGCCCATTACTTGCTAGTTTTTAAATCTTTAATGATTTCCCATTACCTATAAAAATGTGAATTCTTTTCTTAAAATATATCTTTATTGATTTCAGAGAGAGGGAGAGAGAGATAGAAACATCGATGAGAGAGTTGTCATTGATCGGTTGCCTCCCGCACTGGGGACCGAGCCCGCAACCCGGGCCTGTGCCCTGGCCGGGAATCGAACCTCGATCTCCTGGATCCCAGGTCGATGCTCAGCCGCTGAGCCCCGCCCGACTGGGCAAATGTGAATTCTTTATGTCAAAGCAGTGGCTTCATCTATTTTCACATTCTCTGAATCTAGCATAGTGATCAACTCACAGAATAGTGTTTAATTTATGTTTCACTAGGAATGAATCAACTGTGCAGTGGAGTTGAGGGAATATTGAATCATTTAGGTAGCCTGATTAGCTCTGTAATTCTTATTTCCCAAGATGGGAAAACGCCGCTGTCCCCTGTAGACTCTCCCCTGCCCATGAATCAGGGGTCAAACCTGCTCTCGGCAGGCAGATTTCAGAAACTAAGAAATCCGCGCTGCTGTTGGCTCTACTGCGATTCTCCAGGAGCTGGGCCCTCGCCTTCTCCTTACTGTTCAGGGGGCACGCTGCATGTGTTCCATTACCTCTAGAAATGGGGTCTTGCCTTGCTCTTCTCCGAGCCATTTCAGAGGGTGCCATTTTGCCCTTTATTTCAATTCCTTTGTAGGGTCATTCACCTGGAGTAAAAATTCACTTGCGTCTAACTGGGGCCTGCATGTCTCCTCATTGCTGTAGGAGCTCAAACTTGCTGACCACACGGTTTGCCTTCCAGGACCTCCGTCATCTGGCCTGCAGATTATCTGTCCGGGGTGCCTCGCCCACTGCTCTGCACCCGCTTCTGCTGCTTGTGTTTTAAGTTCCTTGCCTTCCTTGATGTTTTAGATACCTCTGGCCTCTAAGTCCCTGCCGAAATAGTCCACATAACAGTTCCTAAAATTAAGCCTATGGTTCCCAGAACTGGACATAGTGTGAATTGAGTCTAATCAGAGCAAGCTATGGTAACAGTTGTCAAAAAGAAATCACCTTACATAATGGTACATAAGCATTAAGTGTTGATTGTCTATTTTTGTACCTGAATTGCATTGTGTCATAACAGGACTTCTATGTTCTGACATCACAGGTGGTCTTTAAAAATCCCTTTTTTATTTAATTTATTTTAACAAGAATTCACAATTATTACTGATAATTAAATGTATCTTATTGTGTATGACTTATCATCTCTGGTCTTTGTTTTAATTCTGTATGCAATGTTTTAACCACCCTCCCATCTTTCTTATCATTTCCAAAGTTATGTTTCATGTGTTCATCCAAGTCACTGATACAAATACTTTATGAATCAGTGTCAAGTACACAGCTTTATAACACACAACTAAAGATTGGTTGGCACTGATTTGTCAATTAAAACTATTTGTACTTTGTTACATAGGCTACAAATATACCTTTGTGAATCATTTCACTCTCATTTTTCTACCTGATTTCTAAACTACTTAAAAATGGTTAGATACCTTTATAAGTTTCTGCATATATCTCTGGTAGGGAATTTGTTCTTGAATTAACAACAAAAATAGGCCTTCAATAAATCATCATTTTCCTTTTGACGTCTTCCCTATGCCTGTCAAAAGACTTAATTACATATAATTCTCTTAATTATTGTCTGACGCTTGGGAATTGGCTTATTAAATTTAGCACACTGTACTCTAATTGCTCCCATGCCCTTCTTCCTTCCAACCAGAGTGTGAGCTTTTGTGAGTCAGGGTGCAGGTCTTTCATCTCTTAAACTTTGTGTCACTACTGAATAGCACAGTCCCTCACATACAGAAGTGCTGAAAGGTCTTCCTAAAGATAAATAAACAAAGTAGGGAAAGATTAACTAGATAACCACATCATTCTTATCCAATACTTTATCCCTTCTTCACAGTTTTTCAAAAATTACAGAGGTTTTTAAATCACCAAACAATTTTTATTGTGCAATTCCAATAGTTATTTGTGGAATCTTAGTTTAGAGTAAGTCTTCATAGCCCACTTCAACTGCCTAGTTTAAGCAAAAAGCAACAATCTAATTACATATCTATAGATTTCATGATATTTCTTCAAACATCAAAGCACTAAAAGTGCCAATGATTTTACAAATATTCTAAATTTACAAATATTCTAATTTGTTATAATTTTACAAATATTCTAAAATTAGAATATTATTCTAATTTTATATATTATATAAAATAAAATATTTTATATATTATTCATTTTATAAAATAATCAAAAGGATTTGATTATCTGGAAGAAAATTACTGAAACATAGTCCTTCCAATATATCTATGATGTCTGGAAAACTATAAACCAAAAACATAATAATGATAAAGGATTTCTCAGCTGTTGGGAGTGTGTGAGCTTTAAGGTAAGACATGAATTGGTATATTTTATGTTTCATAGCTTACAAGTGGCATCATGCCACCGGCATGTTTTTCCAGAGTCATGGACTCATTTTAAGCACACTCTCCACTTCTCCACCTTCGGCTTCAAAGCTCTTAAATTCTTTCTAGTCCATTTATTTTCTTTACTGCAGATCTGTGCAATCAGTTGAACAGTTCTGCCAACTCAACATTCTACTATCTTGTGCAAGTACTATAACTAATCTTTCAATA